ATTTCTCTCTGTCCTCTGCAGTGGTTCTAATAGGAGAGTCTGGTGTAGGAAAGAGCAATTTGTTGTCCCGCTTCACCAAAAATGAATTTAACCACGACAGCCGCACAACCATCGGGGTGGAGTTCAGCACACGGACGGTGCAGCTCAACAACTTCACCATCAAAGCTCAGATCTGGGACACTGCTGGGCTGGAGCGATACCGGGCCATCACATCTGCGTGAGTATATACTACTAATATCCCACTAATAAATGAGAATGATTACAGTAGGTTATGGTAGCTCACTACCCAGTAATTATATTGTAATTATAAAATGCACATGCATAATAGGGGTTATTGTTCAAATCAGGATGTGAACTTTCATTCCTACTTATCAAAATACAATGTCAACAAGAACCAGTCTGCAGATGTCGTGTTAGTAAACCTTCACTGTGAACAAGTTATGTTCTGTTATTTGTTAATTGACAGAAAATGTTCTTTTTTAAACTGTTGAGTTGTAAAACAAATCACAAATTTCTATAGTAGATAGTGAAAAGCACTTTCTTTAATTGTTTCTCTATTATTTAATTACTTTGGCATAGCCTAAATGGCTACAGGGGAAGTCTTTATCAGTAGGAAAATCTGCACAACGTATGAACATCCAGTGTGCCGGATTGAAGTCTGTGCCAGGCCAACTCCGACCCCCTGGCTTCATGTTTGCTTTACGTCATCATATCAGTTGTGGAGACTCCTGATGTTTTTCTTCACTTAAAAATAGTGAAAAAAGTCACTTTCATTGTGTTGTTCAAATTGCAACAAGTTACATTTGGATTACTTGGTATTAATGTTTCTTTTTAAAAGTCATAACCAAGTTACTCAAAAAAACACAAATCCTCGATGTGATCAGGTTCCTGTAGGAACTACTTTCTTTCTACTCAACTACACATACCAACTGTGTCCTTGTGCAGGAGCAGGCGTGACAAAAGTCCTGTGCTTGTGACAACAGGACACAAAGGCAACTCCCTCAGACGAGCTGGCCAAGTTTGCTTCCCACTTGGCCGGCGTAGTTGGGCTGAAACAGCTAAATTCACTAATGAATAACGCTACAGTCCAGAGAAAAAATCATTACATTCTTTTTCCAGGATGTCACATAATGCCTTCTTGTCAGCTGTCACCACAGTCTCACCATTATGTCTGTCAACATCAGTGTTGTCATACAACAGTCCCATTTTATAGCCCTACAAAGTCCACATTAGGAGGCTGTAACCTACAGTCATGTCATCTTGCACGACCCTATTTTATCTAAGTCAATGCATCAGTCCATATGGGATAGGGGAAACTAGACTCCAGTTTTCATAGGTCAGGACAGGTTGCCATTGTATCTGATGGCTAACACATGCAGAAAACTCTGGAATCAGTGTTTGTTAAAATCAACAATCAGTATGTGCAACTCTTGTCTTAAAATAAGTTTATTAATCTAAACTGGTGGGTATAAAATAATGGTTCACATTGCAATCTTCTTTTGTCACTAATATGTGTTCTTCATTAAGAATGCATCTTAAAAATGTGCGACTTTTATGCACACCTGCAAACCGACACGCACAATGCTTTCGCAGTCCACACGCTTGTTTTCCTGCTGCTTAG